CCGTGGGCTTCTGGCAGGAAAACTACGGCCGCAGCTCGGCAGCACCGGGGGCGTCGCAGCGTGCCGCCGCCGCCGCGCTGCCCCCCGGGCACGGCGGCGGCGGCAGCAAGCTTGGGCCCAAACGCCGTGCCGCCGAGTCCCGTGGCTGCGACCGTAGACCGTGGGCCGGAAACTGCGGCCGCAGCTCGGCGGCACGTGGTTCTGGTCAAATCGCCAAGCGTGCAGCAGCGCCGAACCACGCTTCCCGGCCTCGGCGCATGCCTTCAGGGGCCCCCTATCGCTGGGCACACCCCTCCAACACCGAACATGCGCCCGGGGGGGAGGGCGGCCCGGGCGGCCCAGGCCAAAGTGGGCCGCCCTCGAGCAAGAGGCGGCCGGGCTGTGTGCTGAATGAATGAATGAATGAATGCACTCTGGCACAGCAGGCCATTTCTGGGAGGTGAATCGCTCTGGCTCCTATGATGTAGCGCTCGCGCACATCTTCCGTGCGGCTGCAGGGCCTGCAAGCTTCTGGTCCGGGCAGTGGTGCCGCTGTTGCCGGCGTGCGGCGGCTTCTGCGGCGGCTTCTGCGAGGCCGCACCCTCGCTGTGGCAACACCGTGCGGCTCCCCAGCCGATCTCAGCTTGGGCACCACCATCCAAGGCACCGCCACCAACGGCCAGGGTGTGCAGCTCGTGTACCGACAGGCAGTCAGGCTGGGCGGAGTCCTCTACGGCAACTATGCTTCCGGCGAGCTGGCCGGCCAGGTGTGTCGCACAGCCCTGCCCTGCCGCTGTGCCGTGCTGCCGATCACGCTGACGCTTGCCTGCCTGACCACCCCTGTACAGACATACACCCAGGCATATTCGAACGGCGACAGCTGCTGCCTGCTCCCCCGGGTTAATTTCCTGGGCGGCGGTTGCTTGGCTACTGGCACCAGGACCGCCAGCGTCGTCTACACCTGCAATGTGGCGGCGCTGAGCGACACCATCACCTCGGCAGTCGCCTCCACCATTGACCGCCCCAACAACTTTGTGGCGACTGGCAACGATTGCAGTCTAACGGTCAACGTGGCCACACGCCGCATTTGGTGAGGGCGAGCAGGCAGCACTGATGCGGAGTGGCAGCGAGCATCAGTGATTTTAGGGTACCCTAACCCTAATCGTCTGCCCCGCCACCCTGCACTGCCCACCTTGTGTGAGGCATCCGTTGGGGTGACAATGGTGCTGCCAAGCCCATTATCCATGCAGTGGAGAGGAATACAACTGCTCCCTGCCACCCCCGCCATCACCAACCCCACCAAGCCCGCCACCAAACCCGCCACCAGCACCCCCCTGCGGCGGTTTCTCAGAGGTGCGGAGCTGCAAGGGTGCCAAGAGCAGGCGGATGCGCCTCACTATTCATTCGCCCACAAGGGCGGTTTGTGCCAGTACTCGCTCTTGCGTGCCCCCCCCCATGCATGTGTGCACCCCTTGCCGCCACTGCGCCCACCCCACGCACCTGCCCGCCTGTGGCGGCCCGCTTCCATGCAGCCCCGACATTGCATTCATTCATTCATTCAGCACACAGACCGGCCGCCTCTTGCTCGAGGGCGGCCCACTTTGGCCTGGGCAGCCCGGGCCGCCCTCCCCCCCGGGCGCATGTTCGGTGTTGGAGGGGTGTGCCCAGCGATAGGGGGCCCCTGAAGGCATGCGCCGAGGCCGGGAAGCGTGGTTCGGCGCTGCTGCACGCTTGGCGATTTGAACAGAACCACGTGCCGCCGAGCTGCGGCCGCAGTTTCCGGCCCACGGTCTACGGTCGCAGCCACGGGACTCGGCGGCACGGCGTTTGGGCCCAAGCTTGCTGCCGCCGCCGCCGTGCCCGGGGGGCAGCGCGGCGGCGGCGGGGGCACGCTGCGACGCCCCCGTGCTGCCGAGTTGCGGCCGTAGTTTCCTGCCAGAAGCCCACGGCCACAGCCACGGGACTCGGCGGCACGGCGTTTCGGTCCACGGCTTGCTGCCGCCGCCGTCA